CTTGGAGGAGTGAAGCGCTTTGGATCTGGGATTTACTCTTCATTTGGAACCCTTCAAAGGTATAAAGCTTGCAACTTCATCTTTCAGTCATGTAGATCTAGAAATTGGTGTTTTAGTGTTACTTTTTGTGGTAATCCAAATGCAAATTTATACCAAAAATTGTTAGTAATGCTCGTGAACTATGAAAAGTAAAAGAAAAAAAACTTTTGCTCAAAAAAAGTGGAGGTGCTCTTCAACGTTTAAGATCAAAGAACCAAGTTTGACTTCACGGTTAATATAGAAAGACATTTTGATTATATCCCTGGTGTAAAAATATCACTACTAGAACATGCAATCAACATAAAGAATTAGTCAACTTACTCATTCCAAGTATAAATGAAGTTTGACTTCTTCAACCAAACTTTATACCTCTTTTTTCCCATATCACTGTTGACTAACCTCTTATACCAAATGTCATATTGATTTAAGATGTAAACTCTAAACTATTAAACCAACTAAATTTTTTTCAGAACGTGCAATCTATGGCTCTATGTTAGTTCCACCCCTATTATCTACTAATCTTCCATAGTTTATACCATGGGTTTCCTGTGGAAGCTTTAACTGTTACATACCCTGGGAGAAACATAAAGGGATGAAGATTTATAGTAGAAATTACTTGTCATCGATGATTAGGCTTGAAGAATCATAAAACTCACCAATTTTGGATAAAATACTTCAGCACTTCTAGATCGTCAAACTTCAAAAACTGTCAATTCTAGCACCAAACGATCACTAAAAAGGATGGGGGTGGACACTAAATCGACGATCACTAAAATGGATGGAGGTGGATGCTAAATCGTATAAACACAAAGATTGAGCGTTAATTTTGGAAACGCTTATGTTTACTGTATCTTCCGATCTTACTAATCAACACAAAAATCTTGTGATAATACTTAATTTCCCATATTGAAGTTGTAAATGAGGAGCCCTATCATAGGGCTGAGATTTAAGGGATACGGAAGTATCAAAACTGATTCTACAACTAATAGGGTTTATAGGATTTGCATATTTTGAATGAGTAGATAACTGGAAAATCATACAAAGGGAAATTTAAGAAGAGGAAATGCAAGGGGTTTATAATAGCTAAAGGGAAATTTTGGAAATTCACTTTGAAGCTATAAGGACCGAGAAATTGCCACGTGGAAAGTGGATACTCTTTTATTAGGATATAAGATTATATATATATATATATATATATATATATATATATATATATATATATATATATATATATATATTACACTGAAGAAGTGACCAAGTAGAGTATGTGAATTAGTTGTTATAATCTAGAGTCATCCAAGTAGTAGTGTAATAGCAATAGATAATATACACATAACTCCACGATGGCAGTTAAGCATCTTGCTAACAGTTCCCTTTTGTCTTTAGTTAAATCACCTTTATTATTTTATTAATATTCTATTTAGAGGCATGTTGTATGTACTTTGTAACTTTTACACTATTTTCTTCATCCTTTGTATAGGGTAATTCTATCCGTACCCCCTCCCCTAAATTACTTCGTGTACCCTCACCATTTGTGAGTGTAATAATGTGTGTACCCTCCCCCCCTTCCCAATTATTTTATTAAAATGTTATTTAACGTAGCATTCATTGTTTTCCTTTAAATATGCTAATTTGTATTGTTGAAAACATACCCAAACTTCGTATGAAATATATATAATCTTATATCTAGTGTAATTATATTTCTGATTTCATATATTATGTTATATTTTGTTGTTTCTAATGCTTAAGATGTTTACCATATTTATTTTCGTAAATATTTTGTACCTATTGTTGGATGTTAAATTTGATCATAACATGTAGGATCTAGATCTTAACAACCTTGCTATTTATTCTACTATAAGCGGCTCAAAATTTAAGACCTAAAATATCTATATTAAATGATTTTGATGCTTTATCTTTTGATTTAAACAATAACTTTCTGTATTTTCCTTAACACATACTAGAAAAACATACTTTGATAATCATTTTAATGGGTGATCATAAAACAAAAACTAAGTTATAAATTATTTATTATGATTTTATTTTGAGTGTTAATTCAGCTAAACTTGTGATATTATTAATTCATAATATATCCATATAGTGTTATATTAATGGTATAATGGCTTAAAAGGGTAACATGGTTTAGATAGTGTATATATTTAGTCACTTATGTTTATTTTTATATATATTTAGTCTTTTTCTGTAAATATTTAGTCACTTGTGTTTTTTATTTTATACACATATCACCATTACGTTTGATGGTCATATGTATACAAAGTAAAAACATATGTGACTAAACGTGTACAAAGAAAACATAAATGACTAAATATGTACAAAAATAAACATAAGTGACTAAATATGTACATGTAACACCCAGTTTTTAGGGATCATATTTCTACATTTGTCACAAATAGTCAGGGTTTGTTGACTCAGTGTGGAAGAGTGTGGGTTCTTGTTTGTGGTGGGGTTCGACAGACATTGTTGGAAGAAGCACACAAGTCCAAGTTTTTGATCCATTTGGGCACTACAAATATGTACAGAGATCTAAGACTGAGCTATTGGTGGCCCTGTATGAAGAGGGAGATAGCTTGGTATGTGGAGCAGTGCTTGACTTGCCAGAAAGTTAAGGCCGAACATCAGAGACCCCACGCCAAGATGCAACCATTGGACATCCCCATATGGAAATGGGAGGAGATCACTATAGATTTCATCACGAACTTGCCAAGGATGACATATCGGGTTGATTCGATCTGGGTTGACCAAGAGCGCCCACTTCATCCTGATTCATGACAGTTCATCCATCGAGAAGTTAGTTGAGATCTACATTAAGGATGTGGTTGCACGTCATGGGGTACCGGTTTCAGTTGTTTCAAATCATGATGTTCATGTTACTTCCAGGTTCTAGAGGATGTTTCACGAGGATTTAGGTACTCGATTTCTCTTCAGTACTACTTACCACCCATAGACTGATGGTCAGATCAAGCAGACCATTCAGACTCTAGAGGATATGCTTAGGGCATGTGTCTTGGATTTTGGTGGGATTTGGGATATCGACCTTCTTTTAGCTAAGTTTCCGTACAATAATAGCTATCATGCCAACATTGGTATGCCTCGCTTTGAATTACTCTATGGGAGAAAATGTCGGACCCCAATTTGGTATGATGGGTGTGAGGTAAACTGCAGACCGCATAGAGTAAACATAAGAGTTATGCTGACTAGTTCCTGTGACATCCCTAATTTTTCACGGCCAAATAAAAAAATTTCTTTATGCTTATTTAAAATATAGTATCCTTTTGTAGAATATAATAATGCAGAATTTGTCCCAAAATATTTTCTTTAAATATAAATTAGAGTCAAAACATTTTAAGAAATGTTTTCATATTAAAAACCTCGGATGTCAATGTTGATACGGAAACATAAGCATAAACTAGTCTTTACAGGCCTTACTTCAATTTATTATACTAATGGCCTACATCTCCTCGAATCTCTAATCAGATCAAAACATCATTATCTAAGTACCTTTGTACTGTTATGTAACATCCAGTTTCAGGATGTTTCTTATTTATGGACTTTGGACCGTAATTCAATCATACAAAGGTCTTCGGCCTTCAACGGAATGGATTTTAGACCCTATTGAATGTTGAAGATGTTGGTTAAATTATTTAAGTCTTGAATTGTGCTTTGGAGCCAAAGGGTAAAATGGGAAGAGTGATATTTGGGACTTCTTGCCTGAATTAATGAAGTTAGTTCACTATGTTTTAAGTTAAAAATAGTTAGATAGAATTGTGGGGCTTGTTGATACCTTCGCGTGGATATAAAGATCATCAAACATGGAGTTGAAACGTGGAAGTTACGCTTGTTTGAAGTTGAAGTGGAAATTAGGAATTTCGCCCTATGTTGAGCGTAGGAAAGGCCCCTGTAAGTCTCTTAACTCGGATCTATCAAGGTATCAATGCAATAGTTTGATTAATGTGTAATCTTAATCAAACAATGAAATATATCAAGAATACGTTTCAAATTAATGCACACAATTCTATTAGATAATTGTCAAGTGCATTCAATCACCCTCTAGCCGTAAATTGACTAAGACTCACCGAAAACGTATTAGCTTCAAATGACTATACACAGACCATATTTATATTAAGACCGATAACCTAAAGCCCGAACATAAAAGGCCCACCGAAAACACACTAAGCCCACCGAGAACCATATAATACATTCAAAGCAAAGCATAAACCACTAAATATAGCCCAACAATCTCCCCCTTGGTTTATTGCTTTCTGTTCTCCTCAAGGCTTATCCACGAGATGCGCGTCCGCTTGATCAAATGCCCCTGCCTACAGCTTCTTTTCAATTATTGTAGCTACCATTCCAGTGAAGGCTTTTGCGGCAACTTCAAACAATTCATTCTCAACAATTATTTGAAAGTTCGAAAAAGTGTGCATATCACGTTCTCCAAACTTCAATAGATGATTGGGATCAACAATATGATATTGGTTTTTCTTCAGCTTGATCACCACAGTTGCAGTAGCCTCATCATAAACCCATAATTATATTCTGTCTAAAGTGCCTTCAGGTAAGCGTTTGGGAAGTGGAATCCTTTTAGCTTGCTTTGTGGGTGGCCACATGACATTCACCATGGTTTTGTTCGTTCGTGGATCAATGACATCTTTGGCCTTCTTAGTAAACAATGAAGCAGTCTTTAAGTCTTCAAAGTTATTTTCCGCTTTACTTTCAAGAAAGCTCTTAAAGAACCAGGCCATGGTATCATTCGTTGGATTGTGGAAGGGTGTGTGGACGAGTTCAGAAAGATCAAATTTTGTCCAAGACAAGAAGTCGACTTTCTTCGCATAATATTCAATTCTACCACTTTTCCGCTTCACGATCCACATCTTTTTATCATCATCATATCCCCACATGGAGATGCCAGAATGATCCCCATATTTATATGTAAACTTCTTTCAAGTTTCCCAGAAAAACATCTCAGGATGATCACCCAGAGCATTTTGATCAGAATGCTTCATCACTAGCATCTTCCCTTTCAGCTGCTCAACCCTGACTTGCTTCTCTCTTCTTTTTTGAGCAGAAGCAGGACCAGAGAATAAGAATGTATCAAGATTAGCATCCGGAGCAGGTCTTACATCTCTTTCACTTGAAGGCGGAGAAGTTGGATTGGCAGCACCTGCACTAGAAGCAGAAATCTTTTCTCCCTCAACGCTCAAAGGTTGAAATTCATCACTGAACTTTTGATGTAAGCGTTGTTTCAGGTCAAAGAATAGAGCAGTTAGACCACCAATATTTGCTTGAAGTTCTGAAATCTTCAAATCTTTAACGGAGTTCTCATTTTCAAGCTCACTGATCCGAATGTCCTGCTTTCCAATAATCAAATCTTTTTTGGCAGAGCTTTGTTCTAGATCAGAGACTCTGTTTTGAAGCAGAAGCACATCAACCAATTCAGAGTCAGGCAGCTTGCTTTTGCCTTTAGAGAGATCCAGCTCATGTGTTTCAAAAGATCTTCCTGAATCATGAGCTCCTTCTGAATGTAAGACTTTTTCTTCAATAATAGGGCTCTGAAAATCCTGATCCATAGGAGTGGACTCAGGGATCGGGATTGACATTTCTTGAGTCACTGGACAGAACTCAGTGAATGGGCTTTGTATATTTTGAGCTATCGAACTGGTCTGAGTCAGTGTAGAATTCTTGTGAATTGGGTCTGTGATAAGCACTCCCGGCCTTGGATCTTTTCTCTTTCGCTTCCTTGGGAGTAAAGCGTTGGCGGAGTCTTCTAGATCACTTCCAGATGGAGGTTCAGTATCAACAAGAACTGTTTGGGGAGACTTCCTTGCAGTTCGCTGAAGTTTTGCAATAAGTGCATCCATCTGTTCAGTGGTATGTGAGGAAGATTGCACCATTGTGTCCCTTTCCCTTTCAGACACGCTCGGAGGTGTAACAACTACATCCTCATCAAGAATTAAGATACTTTTTGAATAAGATTTTCAAACTCATTTTCTGACAAATCATTTCCTTGATCTTCTTGATCTTCTTCATCATCAGATACTTCAATCTCTTCAAAAGCAAATTGAAACTTTGGTTTGGGTGCCACGTGTTCCTCGACAACCTCATCATTTATGGAACTACCAGCAGAAGTGTTTTCAACTTCAGCAAACTTTCCAAACTTAACCAACTCATTTAACCCTTGATAGGCAACTTTAGCAGCCTTTCTTGATTTCTTCATGAGTCCAATGGTGTTGGGACCCAAGTATTTCATATCCAAAGTATCAGACGACCTCTCAATTTGGGGATATTTTTCATTCAAGATCATCTGAAGGAACCTGTGGTACATTAAAAATAGATCCTTTTTCTTTCCCTGAAGGTTGCTCTTCATCTCTTCAAGAATGAATTTTGAGAAGTTGTAATCCCAGTCCATAGCCAGAGCGACAATGGTTGAGGTCACAGTCTGACTAATTTCATAAGAGCCCCTTCCTTCAAGAAATGCAAATCACAAAAGAATATGCCAGGAACCTCCAGTAAGGTGGCAGTAACTTCTTGATGGTGGGAGGGTAGGTTCCTTCATAACACATCTTCTCAAGAACTTACTTGACTTGATCAGCAGAGTACTCAATTGGGAACGCAGATGCATCACCAAATTCAAGTACCTCTCGGATAACTTGCTCAGAAATAATTACTTGTGTTCCCTTCACCATCGATTCAACAGTACCAACTCCATCTGCTTCCAGCTTGTTGATCGAAGCATTTTTCCAGAACTCAGTAATTAGGTCTCTGTGGATGACTGGATTAGCACGAAGGGCTTGAGAAATCCTGCAGTTGTTCAAACCCACCATCATGGATTTGAATTCTTGATGAGCAACAGGTGGATCCATTAGATATCCCGCAATGTTGTGAGAGTCTACAAATTTTAGTTGCTCTGTTCTTTATCTGCACCAAACTTGCCAAGTAAGAATTAATTTTAAATTAATTAAATTGAGATTGAAATTTGATTTCAATTAAAGTCAAGGTTTTAGTAGTTTTCGGTTAAAGTCAAGATTTCAATCGATTTCGGTTAAGGTCAAGATTTTAGTCAATTTCAGTCACAAGGATCGATTTCGGTCAAAGCTCATCGATTTTGTTCAAAGCTCTTGATGACCAGACGATTTCGGTCAACGCTGATTGATTGCGGACGAGATGCCAGTTTTCGGTCAAGCCTTCATCTAATTTCGGTCGGATTCAGGTTGAACCGAAAACCCGAAATCTCATCGGAACCTGTTCCAATTCAGATTTTTTGAAAAACCTTCAAATAATCTACTCGAAAACCTGCAAATCTATGAAATTGAGTACACCGAAAACAACTTTAATGACATTGCCATGATCGAAAATCAAAAATCTACCTGATTCACCAAACAATTTCCAACAAGAACAACGATTGAGTAGATTTTAGTAGACAAGAACTCGAAGAGAGAAGAAAGAAAGTGATGATGGCTGAAACAATGCCTGTTTGGGGTTTTTCGGTGGAAAATCCTATTCAGCCGAAACGAAGTATTTATATGACCAAAAATTCCAGACGGCCCACTACAACTGATTTCCGCCTATGAAGATTAACCCAATTTTAATAAGAGGGATTTCTTTCGATTTTACATTTCAAAAACCAAAAAAAACAAAAAATTAAAATAAAATTAAACACACATGTTTTACATATATATTTTTAATTAAATTTTTAATTTTTTTTAATTTTTTTTTGTTTTTTTTTATTTTATTATTTCTCTCCCTAAATTTGTGCATAACAATGAAAATATGTACAAATTTAAATAAAAACGAAAATGTAATCCAAAATAAAACTTTTTGGGATCAAACGTTATGGAGCAAATTAATGAGGTTTATTAGCACACACGTTAATGAAAAGCTCTGGTCAATCATTAATATTGTGATCCACTTAAACACAAAGGACATTTTTCAGGACATATCATGAGTGATGATGTATAACTACTATATTCCTAGATAGACCATTTTGTCTGACAACGACCAAGGATGTTGTTGTCCACCTAAATTTAGCCAGTAAAATCTACCAGTCAGCCTTTAGTTACGGGTGCTGTTAGTGTTAGTGCATTAGAACATGTTCCCCACTTCATGGCATACCCTAGTAATCGAGGAAATTTCTTCGGACTCCTTTACTTTAGGTGAGTAGTTAATCATTATGGAATGCATATGTTGTGTCCCAGGTCGGATCTACCGATCACGCAGAGGGGACAACATATGACTAACATAGAGAGTAGAATATTTGAGATTTGTAGGAGACAATATACTGACTTAAAAGCAGTGAACATCATCAGAGTGCATATGTTGTGTTCCAGGTCGGATCTTCCGATCACGCAGAGGGGACAATATATGGTTGACTAAGAAAGAAAGAATAACGATTTTAAGCAGACCTAATTTATCAGAACCCCTCAGTCACCCCCTGTCAATACCAGAATTAAGGACACAAGTCCATACACCAGTGAAGTGCTGAGCCACAGATCTAGATGATAGTTAGCTTCACTTTATGTCAGAGGCCTCCTTGTCTGTTTTACAGTTAAATCTATCTGAGCGTCGTATTGTCAGTCCAAATGAGGTTTTATAAGTTCAAATGAATCCACATTGTCTAGTCCATTAGTCTTAGTCCTTTATGCCTACCAGCACATTGAACACAGAGTTTACACAATTCAGCTTTAGTGCTTTACATATATTTCATTTGCTCTTTATCACTAACTCATATCAATTCCCAAAAGACTGTCACAAAATTTCTTTTTCTAAAAGTAAAACAAAATGAAAGGGAATAAGACAATACTAAATAAAATGAAGAGAAATTTCGGTCTTCGAAACGTATCATCTTAAGAAATCCCACAAGCACGAGCTTGGTTTTAGAAAAATAGGTTTTTGGACGATTGAAAATCAGCATTATTGTCACATAGAATAGAAGAGTCAGAAAAATTCAAACCGTAATTCAGCAATTGAAGAAATCCCCATTTGTGATCTTTCCTTTTCCTTTCCCGCAAAGGACACATGCTCTCCAATAAAATTCTGAATGTCATGCAGAAGAGAGATGCCCCCTGTCATGTGCCTGGAATAGCCACTATCAACATATCGAAGTCTGATGATATTCCTCCATAGCTACTTCGGCACAAAGTGCGGGATTAATTAGTTTTGGGAACCCAGTCTATTTTGAAACTAGGTTGACCTTTGCCATCTACGCATGATACGCGTTCCCATGTCATATCTTGTTTATCAAACATAGAGAATGAAGAGATGTTAGAATTTTTAGGTGATTTGGGAGTTGAACCTTTTGGTACCCATCTGTAGTCAGGTTTAACCATTTTCTTGTTTAGTCGAATGGATGCTTCAACACTCGCTTTGGAGCTTGAGACTGATTGCTGAGATGACTTCAAACTTACCGATCTTGGTCTTAAATCAGATCTCTTGTCAGACATGACCTTTTGGTTCTTGAGAGTCCGATCTTTTGTATTTTTAGCATTCCAATCACCATTGCTTGAACGTGACCTCGAAGAATTTCTAGTGGAAGATCTCCCCCTTGGCACGTTCTGCCAACCTTGTTTATAGTAGGGAACATATGAACGATGTGGGAAATTTCTAGCAATGTGACCAGGAGTCCCACAGTTTAAACAAGTTTGTCTTTTCAAATAAATAATATTGTGACTTGGTCCTTGTCCAAATGAAGTTTGTTTCAAAGACCTTCCACAAGTACAAGCACATTTATTAGAATGTTTAACAAATTTTTTTGGCTTGAGTTTTTCAACAGTGGAATTATCATCATCACAAGTTTTTGAAGCATTTTTAGCAGAACTAGAATTATTTTTGTTCTGCTCGAACCCATCTTGCACTGTTACTTTATCTGCACAAGAAGTAGAAGCATCAGAATCATTCACATTAATACTCTCAGTTTGGCCGGATTGTTCAATATTAACTGAAACAGTGACAGTAGGCTGATCATTTTGAACAAATTTTTTTGTCTCTATGGTTTCAGAAGCTGGTGTATAGTCATCATTGAAGGAAGGTGGTACACTATGACACCCTATACCCTCACCCTGTTTGTCTTTCCATTTTAATTGTTTTTCTATCATTGACTCAACAATTTCACTTGACACATCGAATTTATTAAATCCAGCATCCTTAAAATTAGCCTTTAATACATCAAGTTCGGCATTTAAGTTTGTAATTTCCTCTTTGCAAAAACAATAGTGAACACATTTGGTGTTGTATTCTTCTTTAATCTTGCTTAAGTCTTTAGTTTGTGCTTCTAGTTTTTCTTTAAGCAGTTTATTTACTTTCTTGATTTCATATATTTCATTTTTAAGGTCAAAAACCTCTCTAACTAATAATTCATTTTGTTCACGTTATTTATTTATTTTGTCATCACAGGATTGAGAACATGAGGTTTCACTTACCTTCTTGGTGATTGAAGAACTCATTATTCACCAAAAAAATCTGACCGAAAACACCAATAGTCAACACCCTGTTGACCGAGAACCTCGAAGGTCAAAATTTTGACCGAAATCCCTAAAATTCAAAAGATTGACCAAAAACAGTTGGGCGAACTATATGTTTTGGCCGAGAACTCTTCCCTTTTACCTTTGTACCGAAAACACCAAGTAGCCACCGAAAACTTTGAGACCTAGCCGAAAACGAGGTTTTTCATCGAGTTTCCTTATCTAGTGAATCCCAAAATTTGGTAAATTACCAAAATCGATTTCCAACGTAATATCTTCCAAAATTAGTGAAGAACACTAAGAAAATGATGAACACAAAGAATAGCAACACGATGAACAACAAATCCTTTTTCAATACAACCGAAAAACACCACAAACTAATTAATATTTCAAAAAGGAATTGATACCAAAACAGACTTAAGTCGTTTTTTAAGGCT